AAATTTTTATTTTAAATTTTCATCTTCCTGCCATTACTCGTTTTCTGTTGTAATCATTCTTTTGTAGTAAAAAGGTGGGACACTAAGGGAGAGAGGGAAAAAGGTTTTCTCCCTCCCATGATTCTAACGTTGAACTTGTAGCGCTACACCTAATTAAAGGGATTAGCCTGTTACTCAACTAGCTTGCAATTATTCTCTCACTATTCCTCACCTTACGCTATAATATAAATAAATTGGTAACATATTTTTTTGTAATTTTTTTAATATTTTAATAATTAAAAATTTAAATTTAAAATTTGAATTAAATGAAAAAGAGATTTACAAAGAAAAGTGGCATCTAATATGTCAAAGAAAAAAATTTCTAACCACATTTGTTTACAAAATTATCCAAAAATTATTTTGAAACCAAAACCCCTTAATAATCAAATTATTAGTACTTATCAATAACAAATTATTACTACATTCTTGGTTTTTTTGGGCTTCTAACCATGCTCTGGATAGGGACAGGGTTTAAGTTTTAATTTTAAGAGAGTAATTTATGATTAAAAAATATTTTATAATTTAAATTATAAAATATTAATTTAAAAAAGAAATCTAAACGTTAGAGAAATCTTTTTAACAAATCTCTATCTTATAATTGGTAATAGATTAAATATGTAGACTCGTATGATTTTTTTAATTTTAAGAGAGTAATTTATGATTAAAAAATATTTTATAATTTAAATTATAACATATTAATTTAAAAAAGAAATCTAAACGTTAGAGAAATTTTTTTAACAAATCCCTATTTTATAATTGGAAATAGATTAAATATGTAGATTAATATTATTTTTTTTAAATAATAATTAAAAATTAATATATTAGAGGTGTTAATATATAAAGAAATATTAAACCCGAAATAAGGGATGCGAATTACAAACTTCCCAAACGAACACAGGTGGCCACTGGCCCACGCACGTGGAATGCGACTCGTATGACTATGTAAAATAAAGAGCAACGTATCCCCAGGCGAGATGGCGAGTGGAGATAAATTGAAATATCGGAAGATATTTGTGTCGCGTGGTCCTCTGTCCTGTCACTGTTATCACCAATTATTGGTGCGACTTATAGCCAAGGCCTTAGGCTGATGCCACCGCTTGAAAAAAGTTACCATAACAATTCCATCTCCCCTATTTGTTTTTTTTTTTTAAGAGTGTTTATCAATTACAAATATATAAAATTTTAAGTAAAAAAATATTTATTTTAATAAAGTATTATAAAAAA